ATCGTGCTTCTGTGAGAATAAACTTATAAGTACCTATCTTTTTCCTTAATTCATGAGTAATCATACTTTCTTTTAGATCTTCACGACATCTAATCCACCCTAATGTTTTGACATCATAATTAGTATGAGTTGGTTGAGTCTACATCGAGCTGACATCATGTGCTTTGAGAAAGCAGTTCGTCTTAACCTCCCTAACAACGAAACTCTAGTTATTTACGATGACGAATCAAATACGAACCTTCGCATCATTTCGTGTATGCAAGCTCAGAAGTGCTTACAAAAGGAATGGCATACATTCCTTGCACACATCTTCGATACAAGCCAAGAAGTGAAAGATTCAGAACATTCCAGAAGTACACAACTTTTCCACCACAGCGCCAAGTCGAGTTTCGGAACCGACTTAGTTCCAGGAACAACCTCAGTAGCCAAATCGCCTTATCGTCTAGCTCCAGCTGAGATACATAAACTTTCTAGTTAGCTTAACGAGCTTCTCAGGAAGGGATTCATTAGGCCAAGCTTCTCACCATGGGAAGCATCGGTCTTGTTCGTGAAGAAGAAAGACGACTCGTTTCATCGATGACATACTTATCTACTCCCGAAGTAAGGTGGAGCATAGTCAACACCTCCTAAGAGTACTGTATTCACAGACCACGAGAACATGCAACACACATCTGACCAGGAAGAGTTATCACCCCAGTGAAGTCAAACAAAAGAAACAAAGCCGTAGCCCGATAGTGAAAGGTTCGTTGGAGTATGCCACCTTGCCTACCCAAGCCATTACTCGAAAAGGGCCAATAAATCGGGGGCCTAACTTGCCCCTCTTCCTGAAGCATATATCACCCTACCACGGTGATACATACATACATACATACACACACACACACATATATATATATATATATATATATATATACATATACATATATATATATATATATATATATTAATCTTGTAATAATATAATAGTATAGGGTGTATTTTAAACATTTTAAAAATACTAGGGTTTTAATTTCAATTTAAAATTTTCGAAATTTATAACTTTTAAATTAAAATTTTAAATATTAAAACTCTTGATTTAATAATTATCTAAATTAAACAATTAATTTTAATTACTAAATCATAAAGGATTATTTTAAATTAAACAATTAATTTTATCCTAATCCCTTATATCCTTCTAAATTTCGAAAATATGGGAGGGGATAATTTAAAATCTTTAATTACCATATTTAACAATTAAAGGATAATTACAAGATATGAGATTATCCAAATCCCTAAATTTTAGGAACTTATCTTGGGGAGGAGGCAAATCTCGAAAATCTAGGGTTTGCAAACCCTAGATCTCGAAATCTTGGGCATTAAGGAAAAGGGTTTGAAAACCCTTCTCAAAATTTCGAACACTAAGGTTCAAGAACCCTAAAATCGAAATCCTTGCCTCTTAGGGTTTATTGGCCATTAACCCTAAAGTGTCAAATTCATACAATTGTATTATACTAATTGAAAACAATTCAACCAAAGGCTCTGATACTACTGATGAGTTTTGTGCAAACAATCTTATGTGTGCATGCAACCCTAGATTTGGATCTATGTTATCTCTATTAGATACATGTACAACTTTATGAACACAAGAAGAAACCTAGCATGCCTGTATATATTTCGAAATTTATATAAACTAGAAGGGATTACATACCTCCTATTGTTATGTTGCAATTACAACACTAATCTTCAATCTCTTGTCTTGGAAAGCAAGTACCACAAGTGTAGTACCTCTAATGGCTCACAAACACCACAAGCAGATGGAGAGGCAAGAGAGAGAGAGAGAGAGAGAGAGAGAGAGAGAGGGGAGAGGTTAGAAATCGGCTCTAAGGCTTCTTAGAAAACAAGTGGCCGATTTCCCTTAGCCAAGGGGTCTTTATATAGGGTAGAGATTAGGGTTTTAGTCCTTATCCTTATCTAGTTGCTTGCCCACCAAACAATCCATAAGATAAGTCTAGAAACCTATCCTTGGACGAATTCTAGGGCTTTATCCCCTTGAATTCGTCCACGTATCCCTTAGGGCATCCATTGCCTATATTTGCAACTATCACATAATTACAATTCAGCCCCTGTAGTTTAATTAATTATAGTTGATCACAAAATTAATTCTTAATTAATTATTGACCAATATTAATTAAACAAATATGATTTCTCCCTTAATATATTATTCCTATAATATATTAATAAATCATAATAACCTCTTTCTCTATTATTTCTCCAGTCAAGTTGCTTTGGTGAAGGCAACCAAAAAAGGACCATGCTCAACTGGGTCAAGTACTTACCAAATATGGTTACGGGCTTAGACACTAATCCAACAGAAGCATCTTCAAGACTCGTCTTTTATTTTGATTATTCATTTTTGGTGTCTTATTACTATTAAAGAACACACTTGTATGAAATTATACTATTAATGCAATGGATGATGTTGTTGCTTGTTTACTATTTTGCATTGTTATGAAATTGTACATGACGTCCTCCGCCCCAGAACGTTTCCGCCGTTCTTGGTTTTGGGGTGTGAAAGGGTGTTACAACTCTCCCCCGTTTGAACTAGATTTCGACCCTGAAATCATCGGCTCCCATGTCCACTCCAAACCCTTCCGATGTTGCCATTGAACCTTAATTAAGGGCACCACGTTGTTGTGCAAGGCATTCGTCTTCCTATTGAATATAGCCACCAACCTCTCCACATAATTTAGGCACTAATCAATATGAATTTCTTCTAACGGAACCACCTCCGAATCATCAACCATACACTTACGAAGCTGAGAAACATGTAAGGTGCTATGAATCTCACTAAGCTCCTTAGGAAAATCTAATCAGTATGCCACCTTGCCTACCCAAGCCATTGCTCGAAAAGGGCCAATAAATTGGGGGCCTAACCTGCCCCTCTTCCTGAAGCATATATCACCCTACGACGGTGATATCTTCACCAAAACCATGTCCCCGACCTGGAACTCCAACTTAGACCGACACCTATCAACATAATTATTTTTGGTGGCTCTGAGTTGTCTGTAACCTCTGTCTGATTTGTTGAATAATATTCATCGTCTAGAGGATCACCTCAGTCCTCGCCATAACCCCATGACTAACCTCTCCCCAACATACTAGAGTACAACACTTCCTCCTATATAAAAGCTCGTACGGTGGTGCCCCAATGCTAGAATGATAGCTGTTGGTGTACGAAAACTCAACTAGGATAAGGTAGAAGTCCCAACTCCCACCAAAGATGTAGATGAGTTTATATATCTTTTCTTATGATATAAACCATGATACTTATAATGGAAAATATTATTTTCATAATTAAAACACATAGTTTCCAATTAATTACAAGAGTTATAAATATTTATCAAGAATCAAATTCATATAACCATTCAATCTATGTCTTATTGGTGTGACCCTATTGGATCATATGTTATCAACAAATATCATTCTAAAATGATTCTTGAGTAAATAGATCCAATACATAAAATGCTCTACCAACTACTTCGGTATCAAATAGACTTTGGACCACTTCACTATTTCGGAGTAAAGACAACTAGTACATATTTTGGCTTCAGACTTCAACACAACAAAATTTGTTCCCACATTCTCTTTTTTGTGTAAAGTCACTTACACATATTGGAAACACCAAGCAGGGGTAGAGCCATGATTTAAAAATAAGGGGGCCTGACAACCTCAAATTAAAATATAAATGTATATCCGGATAAAGTAATATGTCTAAATTTTTAAAAGAAAATTTCACAAAGAACTAAAAACTTGACATAACTGGTTTTTTAAATCTTCATAACATCTAATAGAAAACTTATGTGTTGAGGCTGGAGTGTTACCTTCATGTACGATGAAAGCTAACTCTTTGCCACAATTTACCTTTTTCCATCAATTAAACTTTGATACGGTAAATGTATCAGACCCGACTTTGCCAATAGGTTTTTATTGAAAAGAAAGCAAGGAAAACAAAATGCTAACATCATTTTTCTCAGAATATTCCAACCACCAAAAATTCTTGAACTAAATTTATTGAAAACTGCACATAGATCTGCTATGATCACTAGGACTGAATGGTTGCTTTGATTTTTGAAGTTGGTGTGGTCCAAATTTAATATATAACCGTCTAATTTCATCACTTTGGTTACTTGGATAGCTTAAGGTTGAAGGTCGTTTTCCTGGATCATGCATTAAAGAATCTAATTTCACCTTTCCTAAATCTGAAATCATTTTTTAAGGTTCAATATCATTGGGCTCTTCAATGTTAGTATTCGTATCAGGGTGTATATTATGAACATCTTCTTTAGTATTTATCACTAACAACTGTGGGTCGTGCATATCTTCTATTTGTTTGAAAAAAGAATCGATAGTTCTTTTCTTGCTCATAATTTACCCTATAAATATACAGATAGAATAAACAAAATTATCAGACCATAATTATTCAATTATAAATTACTAGAAAAGCTAACATATCAAGACATTAAGAATGAAAGGCTAACATATCTATAACAATAGTATTCGTATTTTTTTTTTTTTTTGGGGGGGGGGGGGGGGGGGGGCTAGGCATCTGGCAGCCCTTCCGTTACCTCCGCAATTGACACCAAGCAAAAATTTTCAAACAATGAACCATCTTCCCAACCTACTTGTCATGTCACTGCCACATCAAATGCTTAGGAGAAATGGAGAGTATATATGTTGAGTGAAAAAGTACCATTAGAAAAACTTATATGAATTTAATTTTATGTGCAATAAGTTATTAACATTTTATAACACCAGATTTAAAATTTGTTTGAGCAAGGGTCCCAATGACTTTAAAACCCCATGACAAACACAGACTCAAAACAAGTATGAAAGGAGGCTCATAAACTAACATAAGAAAGCAAATAAACATGGACAAAATCTACATATTAAGTACTAAATATTATGACAAATCTTTATGAACTTGTCTGGACGTCTGGTTACTTGCAGAACATAAATGGTTGTCAAGGAAAAGGATGCTTTAAGTAAGAATGCCATTTATCAATAAAAGCCAAGTCCTTTGGATTCAAACTTGGAAGTTCACGATCTTGAAGGTTATTGATTATCTTTGTAGTCTCACCAAGAAGTTGGGCAGCAGCTCGGACACTCGCCTCCCTTTTCTCTATGGCACTTGTGTGGCATTTCATTGTAATGACTTGGGGCAAGTTGGTGAGACAAGCAGCTAATATATCGGCAATCATTGATGATAACTCTGCAAATAGTTCCTCTTGGCTAATCTCGTCAATGTTCTCGTGGTATGAGAGCAGGATTGTTTCGGTGATACGATACATTGAATTGGCACAAATAGAACTGTATTTGGAATTATCGTTTTGGCCTCTGATATCCGTACTTTCCACCTTGATGACCATGTTCTTAGCTGTATTCCTTAACCATTGAAGAATATGTTCTGGTGTATTCATTCTGGGCTTAGATATTGGAAGCTTGTTTCCTAACCATTTGTGGTATACTTCAACTTCTACCCACAAAGTTTTAGCTGCCTTTTGAATTCTTACATGATCATCAGTAGTGTTGAGGGTTTCTTCCACAAGTTTGACATATACAAGACCTTCACTCACACCACTCACCAAGCAATTGACTTTGTTCTTTTGGATGTTAGGAAGAGACATGATGATGGATGTTAGAGTAACCAATGGCAAACTCCAACAATTGATATATTCTTCTGAAACTAAAGGAGGGACACGCTGGCTTTCAAACTTTTCAACCCCTTCAAAGCCTCTAGATTCCGCAAGAAGCTTCATAAGATTGTTGGGTTGTTGTTTTTCAGCCTTTTGGATCAAACGGTTTACCGATTTTAACATTCCTTTCAATGTTCTATCAGCAAACTCTATGTCGTCTTCAAGTTGCAAAACATACCCTCTTAGATCCTTGTTTTTTCCTAGCTGGGCAGGATTTTGTCCCAGTACAACGCTTGAGGCACTAAACATGGCCTTTAACCACTTCCAACAACGGAGACAATACAAGAAACATATCACAAAGAAAATTGGAATCACTGCTATCAAAATTGGAATCACTGCTATCATCTTGCATGCCACCACGACTGTCTTCTGAAATCCAATACAAATGCTGAGAGTTAGGATTTTCAAAAGCTGGATGACGATCTTGCATTTGCGGCTACTGGATGGGAATGGTATGCTACTCTTTTTCCAATCATATAACTTCTGTGTCCAAAAGCTCTCTACTTTAGAGACCTTGACATGCTTCCAAATCCATTTTAGTGACAACTTGAAGCTTAAGGCTGCAAAACATCTCGCAAGTGGGGCAATTGTACCCAATATGACTCCGATAAACTGTATTATGAAAATCGCTAACACTGACCACTTATAATCCGACTCAGGCTTCCCTAGATATCGGATATTAATAATCACAAGAAAAGTAAAGAAGGCAGTGCTTGCAGCGCATATTACCCCTGAAGCAGAGGCGGTAGCAGAGCAAGCTGACATGAATTGGGGGCTTCCAGTTCCTGCCATGATCCAATAGTTGCTGACATGCTGCTTTAGCATCTCAACAGTTAATACTCTTCCTGGTTGTTGCAGCTCGTGATCCTTTAGAGCTTTTTGATGAGCTGCTTGGTATTTAGATTCTAGAATCTCTTTGGACTTTAGAATTGCTAAAGATGAACATGCATATATTATCAGCAACATGAGCATCGGATCCACACAGATGGCCCCAACAATAACTCTTAAAATAAACGGTATTTCAGTATGAGAGTACTCAGGATCAAGGTACTCAGCATCATATGAACTGTAGAAGAAAATCCATGTGTATATTTGAATGCAAACATTCACAGCCAAGGTGATTACAAGAACAGCTAAAGCTATGATGTTTGAGACAAGTTCCTTGCTATCCATGGTTGCTAGAGAAGGCAATAGATTAGCCAGCATGGTGCACATAAAGCACGTGCTTCCAAACCTTGCAGCCTGGTCTACAACACCTGGCATTAGATTACTTAGATCCATGGGCAGCTTCATTGCAACAGCTATCACAGTGAGAGAAGCAGCATTCAGAGTGAAATATTTACACGGAAACCAGAGCTTTCTGTTCTTCAGACCATGGAATAAATCAGCCACTATTGCAAGGATGCAAAACAGAGATGCTAAGGCGACATAGATCCCAATCCACGGCATAGGTTTGCTGTACAGGTTTTGCTGATGTGAGTTGTATACTAACGTCCACAACCGAGAGAGGTATTCTGGGTCAATATTGTTGCAAGAGCTCTTAAGCAGGTCGAATTGATCATAATCATTTAGGACGTTGGGATTCATGATTATGTTCCTCCAAGGGAAATGATCAAGGGGGTGTAATTAAGGAAATGCAGAAGGTTTGTGTTGAGAAAGAATTAGAATGCAGGTATGTTTCTTCCAATTCTATGAATGTTTTTAAATAAGAATGAAACTTCCATGTTTTTGATGATCTATCGCTTGATCACACCCACGAAATTTTTATCATACATACAATCAACGGGTCAAAGAAGTTAAGGATGTGATGGAAGATAGTGAAGAAACTGCCAATGACTTTCCATAAAGCATCTAAGCCACATATCGTTTTCTTCACTACTGATCAGTGGACTGAAAGATAACTTCCTAATCCTATTACTCTGAACACAAAAATTAAAATACTAAATACAATTTATTTTTCTTTCTTGACCCACCGGTGATGCAGCCTATTAGAATTTAGACGTGGTGCATGGACTCCAGTACTCCACTTGGAAGTGGATCCCATCCCATATATTATTACTAATATACCCTCCACAAAATCCCACTTTTACTAAAAATACCCTCTCCACCCACTTTTAAATACTTTGTATGCATAATGGACTCGTGTCCGCTCACAACTCAACCTTCATACAATACAAGTGCAAGTGTGGGCACATTCTTTTTGGTTAAACAAATTAACATAGAACGAATGCATGCTACCCCTTCTTATAGAAATACATGCTTTTAAAAGAAAATTATTATATTTGATTAAAATAAATCATCTAGGCATATTCTACAAAACATTTGATATTCAAAATTATGTTTATACTATTAAAATTGAAGTCTGAAAGATTAATTGAAGAAAATATCAGATTATTATGCAATCCACTTCTAAAACGGACTCCAATGAAATTGAAAACATAAAAATGAATCTAGTTAATTAGGGAGAAGTTGAAATACGGCCCTAATATTATATATGTCGTTAAAACTCTTTCATTGATCCATCACAAGCCTGGTAATACCTTTCCACTGTAGTCACATATATATGGTGCATATTCTTGGGCTCGCTAGCACCCTCACTCTTTCAACTTGGTTGTTGGCTTATCATTCTCTAATAAATTAGGTATATATATATATATATATATATATATATATATATATATATATATATATATTATATATTATATATATATATATATATATATATATATATATATATATATAATTTGTCACACTCTCATTAAATTTGTCAAATGTCATTTTAAATTAATTTTTTCTTTTTCCACATGTCATTTTATGAAATTTTCTATTTTATTAGATTTCAAATAATACTTTAATGTAATAATTGTATAAATATAGTAATAAATAAATATATATCAATTTCATTAATTAACTTACCTTCTAATTTCAAAATTTCCAAAATTAAAGCTCATTAGTTTCTTTTATTTATATAAATATAAATTATTTGTTTACATTTAAAAGATAAAAAACATTTCCATTATAATAATTCATTGTTTTTTTTTCTTATAAATTCAAAATTCTCAAATATTTTAATATTTATATTTAATTTTTTTAAATTAACCATTGTAATACATGAGTCTCACAACTATCCCCCTAATCTAATAAATAAAACCATTTTTGCCACGTGGCAATAGCTAAGCATCCCCCCCTCTCCAATTTTCCCGTTCAAATCATTTATTTGAAATTCCTGTTCCGCCCTCATGCGGTCGATCCCGCTAAAATGTCTTAGAACTCAGTGTATTATTCAATTCCCATTGAAATCAATCCCGTAAAATCAGCAAATCAAATAATCTTCAACCGCTCATCAAGCCTAATCCCATTAAATCAGGAAGTGGCCAATCCACATCTTTTGATGTAAACCCTAATCATCACAAACTTTTCTCTGGATCTAGGCTTTACAATATTGAATCGACCGCTCCACCACCTCCACAAAAGTGTTCGATTGAAAAGCAGATAAAGAGCGATTGAAATCTTCAGACTCATCACCATGTTTAGGTCTGATAGCTTCTCTTCTATGTTTCAATTCAACCTTAAGAAACTGAAGCTCACCAATCACTTCAGAGCTTGCTCCGCCAAAAGGTTCGATTTCTGATTTTTTATTCGTCTTTTTAATTCTGAATTTGCTATGGAGTAACTACTCTTCTTCTGTATGTCTGTTAGTGTTTGATCGTAGTGATCCCAAAATTCGTCATATTATAGCCATATATATCATCATAAGCCCCAAAATTTGTTTAGAATTCTACTTTGCGAATTAGTTGATAATAATATAGTTATAGGGTTTCGAATTTGTTGATTCACTAATGATTATCTATGTGTGGTAGCACTCCTTCTGTTTAATCTTCAAAATTCTGCCATGTACTTCTCAATCACTGTAATTAGGGTTTTTGTGTTAGGATTGCACTAATCGGCTCAATACCTCTCTAAATTTGATAGCAATTCCTTGGGATAATCAAATGGATAATATTTCAAATTAAATTATGATCTCGCATGCATTAACCATTAACATTTATGCAAAATATACTTGGTTGGAAGTAAGGACCGATGATGTAGCTCGTGTGAAATATACTTCAAGTTTAGAAGATATTTAATTCGTAGATATTGTAATTGAAGCCATGAAGATAAATAGAGATTCCTACTTCTCTGTTCTCTAGAACAACTTTGTTTGATTTTTCAATTAATTTCAACTGCTGTAATATCTCAAAAATACAAGCCAAAAATTTCATTTTTAATTATATTATTATAAAACCAACAGTATAAGAAAACATCCATAATATCATGTCATGTCAAAACCAACGTAGAAATAATCAAAACATGTTATCATGAAACAATATCAGAGTGTAATCCCAAAGATCTCATGTGCGGAAAGCCATAGTGTGATGCGCTGCGATCAAGCCGACTCCTTTCCTTTAAACACGAAGTACCTGAAACCAAAACTGAAAACCGTAAGCACAAAGCTTAGTGAGTTCCCCCATCATACCTCATACCATACAATCACATAGCATACATACTGTCGGGCAATTCTGGGGTGCCCAACCTACCCGTGTCAAGCCATTATGGGGTGCTGACCTACCCGTATCAAGCCATTCTGGGGTGCTGACCTACCCATGTCAAGCCATTCTGGGGTGCTGACCTACCCATGTCAAGCCGTTCTGGGGTGCTGACCTACCCATGTCAAGCCGTTCTGGGGTGCTGACCTACCCGTCGGTCCTAACAACCAACCCTCGGGGACTATTCCACCCTACTGCTACTATCACATATATCATAACATAAACATATTATCAGTCATATCAGGGGTGCCTGAACTACCCTTCGGTCCTAACAACCGAACACGGGGACTGGTCCCCTCGTACTACCTCTATCTCATATAACATAACATAACAAGCCAGCACGCAATCATATCATCACATACTGTCAGACGTATCTAGGGTGTCTGACTACCCTTCGGTCCTAACAACCGAACTCGACTACTATCACATACAACATATCATGCGAGCATATAACATATCAGGTAGTAGTAAACCTAGATGATATCACAAAGACAATCATCTATCATACGTCTCCTACTGGTGGGCCGTCATTGTGGCCTTAGACCCACCGCTACTGGAAGGTAACTCACCTCACACTGTTGAAGTCCCGCAGACTCAACCCCAGCTGTTGGATGACAGATTCCCGAACTGTCAACACCAAACCAACACCCAATTAATAATTGGGTCCCAACACATAACCATAACACATACTTGGGTAATTACTACATTACCCCAGGCTTGGCTTATTTAAGCCCAATAAGGCCCAAATGAATGGTCCAATAATAACTCCAAGTGAAATTAGGGTTTCACATAAGATGATGATTAGGGTTAAGTTTCCTACGTAACCCATTAAGGACTTGATCTATTAAGTCCATCATTCTTCTAAATAAGTCGTATGGTGTGATTGGGCTTAATCACACGATTCCATTTCAACGGCCCAAAAGTGGGTCCCGATAAGTTCAAGGCCCACATATCCAAAAATTAGGGTCTTCTAACCCAATGGCATGCCAATTAGTTCATTGGCTAAGTTTTCACGTAATTCAGTCCATATATATATATATATATATATATATATATGCAAATTATCGTTTCATTAAATTACAAGTGGATTTCACGGCCATAAGTTATCATCCTTTTTGGATAAATTATGGTCTAAAATAAGCCCAATTCATAAAATCAATTACATGCCACTAGCCCATTAGCTAACTTGATCACCAACCCATTAAAGGCCCAATAAAGTTCAAATAGCGTACCTAGTTTCCAGGCGACGCACAAGAGAAGTTCCTCCATTGTGGTTGAATCCTCGTTCATTAGAACCGCAACCTCCATAACCAAGTTAAGAATCGCACAGACCCACACCCTGACCGTTATTGATTTCTCACCTTCTTTCTGGCCATCAAAGAATCGAAGACTAGCACCTTGCCTCTCCCTTACTGTGTTGCTGGAGGTCCCAAGACAATCGCCGGAAAGTCAATAGGCCAAGAAAATGCGATTAAACCCATCAATTAATCTCTTTCTAATCGAATTCACCAATGGGAGATAAGAAATCAAAGGATGCATTGAGTCTTACCTACCTCCACTGCTTTGGAGAACATATGGGATTTGTCGGAGGTTCACGCAAAGATGGAGAATAACGCAAACAACAACCCCCCCGGGTTCACGGTATCGAGCTGATTTTGAGCTGAAGGAATGATCCCGTTCTCGCTAAATAAACACCCACCTCTCTCTTTCTCAACTAACGCTTCAGTGAGAGTTCCGACTGGCGAAGAAGCCCAACGATGGCAGCTCCTTCCTCACAGTTCTTCTTCTTTCACCTAATTCCTTCACAACTTCGATGTCTCTCACCCTCTCTCGCTGCTAGTGAACATACATCTCCTTCATTCTATCTAAGGGTTTGTTCTTTATATAACTCGATGATGCAGGTGAAGCAACAAGAGCAAGAGAAAGCTCCCTCCCTCACGCTCTGTCGCTTACAGGGGGGACCAGATGCTTAATTCTCGAAGATTGGCATAAATAGTCCTT